CGTGCGCCACTGCCTGGACCCGCGGCGGCTGCAGGCGCAGCGGCGGGTCCGAGAGTTCCGCGCGCAGCTCGCGCAGCAACCGCTGCAGATCAGCGTCGATGGCTGCGACGCGCTATCGGAGCTCTACGAGCGCGAGTTCGAGTCGTGGTGGGAGATGGACGAAGCGCAGCGCGCGAAGTTGCGCGCGGTGCAGCAGCGGTTGGCCGCCGAGAACGAGCTCATCGAGCAGGAGAAGCGGCGGCTGGAGACCGCGGACGCGGCGCCGGCCGCGCTACCAGCGAAACAGAGCGGGCTAGGCACGGCCGCGGAGTTCGACCTCGCGTTCCGGCCGAGGCACTTCGACGCGGAGGTCTACGGCGACCGCATCGGCTGCGGCGACGCGCTGCTCGCGCAGCACGCGCTGCAGCGCCAGCGCAGCGCGCTGAACATGTACGACGACGCGCTGGACTACGACGAGTTCCGCAGGCGCGCGGCGCGCAACGAAAGCCCGCCGCGGCTGCACGACATCAAGTCGCTGTTCGGCGAAAGCTTCGCGGAGCGCTACGCGTGAGGCGGCTGCGGCTTGAGCGCCTTGACGAAGCGCTCGCGCATCTGCTGCGGCGTGCGCCCGGTGACGAGCCCGCTGCGAATGATTTCGCGCCAGTTGCCTTCGCCGAAGAGCAGCACGCCCATCACGAGCCGCACGTCTTCGGAGATGCGCCAGCTGCCCTTGACCAGCCGCTGCAGCTTGCGCTTGCGCAGCAGCAGCGTCAGCCGCTGCCGTATCTCTTTCTCGCAGCGCGCCGGCAGTAGCGCCTCGAGCTCGCACAGCACTGCGGGCGGCGGCGCGCCCTCGCCGCGCGGCGCCGTCGCGCGCGCCTCAAACGTCTCGAGCAGCAGCTTGTCCTCCTGCGCACTCCAGTCCGTGCGCGCGGCCTGCGTGAGCTGCAGAAACAGCCGGAAGAGCGCGAGCGGCGTACGCCGGAACTCCGCGCTCAGCGCCTTCCAGTCCGGCGCGTCGCGCACGCGCGCGAGCAGCGCGGCGGCGTCCACGGACGCGGGCGCCAGCGCGAACGGGTGGAACTGATGCAGCCAGAGGATTTGCAGCGAACGCGCGCAGAGGCTCGCGTCGACGCTCTCGCTGGCATCCGCCCAGAAGTTCGTCCAGTAGCGCGCCGGGTGCTCGAAGTGCTGCAGCAAGGCGTTGAAGCTCGCGAGCAGCTCTTCGACTTTCGCGGCGCGCTGCGCACCGTCGCGGAAGTGCGCCAACAGCTCGCCACGCGCGCGCTGCGGCGGCAGCGGTGCAAGCCGCCGGCCGACCACCGGCAGCAGCGCCTCCTCGTCGTGCGCGAGCAGCTGCAGGTCCGCGAGCACGCGCGTGTAGAAGTAGTTCTGCAACTTCTTCGCCGTCGAGAGCTTCGCGCCGGGCGCTGCCGCGAGCACACTGCGGAAGCCAGCGAACGCCGGCTGCGCGCGTATCGCCGCGCGGATCCGCTGCAGCGCTTGCGGTCGCAGCTCGGCGTCCGCGGCCGCGCAGGCCTTCTGCCGCTGTGCGAGGCTCCAGAGGTGCGCCTGCGACTTCAGCTGCGCGCACGCGTGCAGCTCTTCGCGACACGCACGCTGCAGCC